CTCTCTCTCTCTCTCTCTCTCTCTCTCTCTCGTCTGTTTGTCTCAAAATAGACGACAGAATGTAATAAACACGTCAATCATTATGTCAATTTATGTTTACATTAAATATCACCACTATTTCCAATTACCAATTAGTCTGTACCAATATGCTCAATAGATTGCATAATAACTTATCATTATTAATAACTATTTTATTTATCTATTCATCAAGCATCGAGTACAAACAATACTTATCGCTAACATGTATGTCCGTGTAATTTATGACTGTGCTTTCAAAGTAATCGCCGCATTTTGCAAAATACGTGTTATCAGTATTGGTTTTAAAACAAACACATGTATTGATAAGTTTTAGGTATAAACAGAGTGCATATTTGATATTGATTTTTGATAGCAATTAAGCAAATATAATAATAAACTGGGAGTGACCAGTTAGTTTTAAATTAATTGAACAAAAGTGTATACATTAACTACTTTTTAGTTTAAATTAAATAATTTGTTATGTGGATTATAGTTTACAAAATTGCATAATAAACATTATAATATAAAATTAGTAATATATTAAAACTAGTAAATTTCTATTTCAATATAATCCTGGTTATGGCCATGTTTATCAGAAATTTATCAGGGTGTACTGATAGACAAACAAACTTTTTGATTTTATTTTGCGGACTAATAGTTTTGCACCAAACCTCAAGGACCCTGATCACAGGTTTAATCCTAAAATGTATGCTAATCGTAACATTTGAAAATTTGGTATAAATAAAAATCATATAAATTGAGTTCACCAAATAATTTTACATTTACTAGTAAAAAGTATACTAGGTAAAAAATATTGATTTAAAAATGGCCAAGGATAAAATATTACGATCCAAAAGACCTATGATTGAAAGTGAATTCAAAACAGTCGGCGCTTATATTTGGGATAAATTGCAAAAACTTGATAGTAATGCCGTGTGTTTGGTATGTATTTTAATTTATTTTAATCATTGTATTTTAGACAAGAATAATTTAAGTGTTAAATTAAATTGTAACGCGATAAGCCTTATATTAAACAATTATTTTCTTAGTTAAATATTTAATTTAAGGCACTTTGAAACATTATAAGTACAGTATATTTCTACAGTACAGTATTATTTATGTTTTAAATTTTAGTATAGACTTTTATTTCAATAATTTATTAATAAATTGTAAATGCTTAAATAGTGATAAATTAATTACGCTAATATGAAAACCTAGATATATATTACTACTTAACATTCACTGACCTAAATAAATAATTAAAAATAAGATAATTAATTCAAAAAACTAAAAATTATTTTTAATAACAAGTCTTGAGATGGGAAACCAAAAATTCAATTAATTATACCTGATAATAATCTAAATGACTAAATATTTCTAAGTTACAGTTTATTCGCAAACAGTAATTTTTAAAACACATTATAATATCTCGCTTATAGACGGAAGCTTTAAGTGGCAAACAGTTAACTATAGGTGAACTCAAATCACGTGCAAATGCCGTGGCGGTAGCCCTCGTGGACAGAGGGGTCACCAAAGGGGACAGAATTGCTTTCTACGGTGAAAACTCCATACAACACGCCGTACTGCGATTTGCGGTCAAATTTTTAGGCCTAACATTCATGCCGTTGAGCCCCACGTTTGAGAAGTATGAGGTGCGCCAGGAGTTCACGGCTGCCGGCGCTAACATTATCGTGTCGTCCGCCGCGGACTTCCATAAGTTTCAGTGGGTTTTGGATGACTCACAGAATAATAACATAAATGGCGTTAAACTTGTGGTCATTTTCGACGGACAACACGACAAACACGTGACATATGACCAGTTGGTGGTGGAGGGCACCGGTCGGACACTCGCGCAGATACCCTACTTCGAGGTGAATCCGGATATAGATATGCTGTTTCTCATACACACGTCCGGCAGCACCGGGAGGCCCAAGTGCGCGATGATACCGCACCGTACGTTCATTAGTGGCGCACAGGAAAGCCTAACGTTTTTGAATTATGAGATGAAGGAACAGGTGGTGCTCGCCATGCAATACCCGTGCGGACACATATCGGGCACAGTTATGATACCCATGCAAGTGGTCAATGGTTTCCGATTAGTCATATTCGGGGAGTTTAGCGAAGAGTTGCTAATGAAGTCCATCGAGAAATACCGGATCAATGTTTTGCCGGCGTTTCCCTCATTCGGGCGCCGACTGATCGAAGGAGATCTCGTCGATAAGTACGACCTGTCGAGCCTGAAAGGCATGAGCACCGGGGGTGCTGCCTTTCCCGGCAATATTGCCAAAGCTATCATCGATAAGTACGGCATTCAGTTTAAGGAGGGTATGTTTTTTTGGAAATGTATTTTGGTTATTTACAGTAGGCTAAATACTTTTTAGTTATGTTTTTACATTTATTACATTTAATGTATTTTTACTGAAAAGTATTAATTTATTTAAAAGTTGTTTTAATTTATTGGTTAAAGGTAAAATTTATAATTAAAATTTTTATTGTTACATTAACATTTAGAGTAATTCATGATGGATAAAAAGTTGAGTACAGTAGTTGACACTCGTTGTTATGTGACAGGTTCATTAAAATTTATATTTAAAGAATGCGTGTTATCGTGTCCATAAATTAACTTTTAAAATGGATAATCTATTTAATTCATAAATTGAGATTATTTTACAGTTTGTAAAATATAAATTATACTAGTTTAAGCACATTCATATGAATTTTTTAAAACAGTTCACAGATTTAAAAAAATAATTTTAAAGTTAGAGTTTATCAACAAATATAAATAAACATAATGTTATAGTTTTATTTATTTACAGTATTATAAAAAAAAATTAAACGTGAAAATAATATAATAAATTGTTTATTAAAAATCTAAAAAATCCTATAAAAATTTATAATTAAATATAAATTAAAATTATTACAACTATTTAACATTTAAACTTAATTAATAATTTATTTGCATAGCCTATGGTATGACTGAATTCTGTTGGGTAACCACGGGCTCCGACACCAGCGACGAGTTTATACCGGGCAACGCCGGCAATGTAGCGCCGGGATGTGAGCTCAAGATCGTCGACATAACCACCGGTGAGAGTCTGGGTCCGGGACAGGACGGGGAGATCTGTGTCCGCGGAAACAAACTCTTCGCCGGATATCTGGACAACGAAAAGGCGAACCTCGAGGCTATCGATAGGGACGGGTGGTATCGCACCGGCGATATCGGGAGGTATGACTCGCAGGAAAGGCTGTTCATTACGGACCGGCTGAAAGAGGTGGTGCGCATCGGTATCGACAACCACTACATCAACATAAGTCCCGTAGAGATCGAGCAGTTCCTACTGACCCACCCGTCCATCGCTGAGGTGGCGGTGGTGGGGGTTAACAACAATTAAAATTGTATCGTAAGTTTATACTGTATATCTGTACCGCAAAAATAAATCCATAATTTTTAAAATATTTTACCGATCAGAATATAATGATCAGACATGGGATTCTTAGGACTTTTCAGTTAAAATGCTGAAAGAGGTGGTGCGCATCGGTATCGACAACCACTACATCAACATAAGTCCCGTAGAAATCGAGCAGTTCCTACTGACCCACCCGTCCATCGCTGAGGTGGCGGTGGTGGGGGTTAACAACAAGTCGGGCACTCATTGGCCCCGGGCTTACGTGATACTCAAACCCGGTGTCACCGGTATTACGGCCGAGGGTATCGAGAAGTTTGTGTTTGGTATGTATGACGCATATTGTGTTTAGTGTATATAAAGGGATTGATTTGGTTTTATCTACCGTTCCCTATACGTATAGACACGTTGGCGTACACTAAGCGCCTGAAGGGTGGGGTAGTGTTTGTGGACCGCATCCAGAGGACAGCCATCGGGAAAGTCGACCGAAAATACTATAGAAATCTCGTGAAAGACGAAGTAC